TTAATTCCTTTGAAGAAACATACCTAAAAGCTAACTTAGCTGTAACATTTCATGCTTGGTTTCTAAATACGTCTCCATAATCTCCTCTTTACCTACATGCATTCTTCTCAGACAGGTATCAACACTGAATTTCAATGTGGAGATTCATTACTTCATACTGAAAGTTGACTCTGTAATATTAAATCTCTTCAGCATAATGACTTCTCAGCTAGCACTTTGAGATTTCGCAGAATCAGCAGTTTGAACTATTGCTTAACACACAGTTTCCTTACTGGCAATTTCACATGAACTAGATTTCAAGACCCTTTAAGCATGGTCTGCTAAGCTTTAGGCTGGAAGAATTCTGAATGTTAGATATTTTTTTTTTGGAGATACTACGTCTAAATGCTTTAACTGAGAAATGACAGACCAAACCCCTGAACAGCTTTTCTACATGTATGAGACACATAGGGAACATTAGCAACTACAGTATTTTGCTGATTTGAAAACATATAATGAGAGAAATAGTTTCTTTTCCAAACAAAAATAACCTATGGTATTCTGCTCTGCTTAGCTCAGCCTTTCTCTTTATTAAAATCTATTAATTAGCACTTAAATGTGCAGTTTCCAGAAATGCCATTCCTTAGTGTTATTGCCTAAAAAGAATACCGTGCTCAGGGTTAAGCTTAAAACAACCAACTTCAATATTTAATGCTAGACTAGCTAATGTTTACTACAAGAGCCCATTAACTCTCACAGCAAAACAAAGTAATGCCATCACAGATAGGCACTCAGATATGAAACGCACAAAAATCAAGGCTATTTCTGTACCATACCAGAGAAGCATCCCCAAATTTAAGTGACATTATAAAGGTAAGCAGCACATGTAAACTGCTCATGTTTTTCCTTATGTAAATGTACATAGTTCCTTTTTAAAAGCACTAGTGTAATATATTTAATTTATGCAGGGGAATGAGGAACAGTTCTGGTGCTGACAGTCACTTCTGTGCCTATTAACTATTCATAAAACACTCAATAGCATTGGAAAAAGCCTTTGAAGCAACAGTAAAGGCTTGGCAAAGCTTTTATCATATTAAATATAAGACGTGAGACTTCATGTTTACAGCTACCCCTACTCATTAGTCAGCCAGCAAGTTTTTCATGCTGAAAGCGCCAGCCACCCAAAGTCACAGAATACAGATTTTTTTTTTTCTTCTGTAGCCCTAATGAAACAGGCATACGGATCCCACTTTTCAGAAGAACTGAAATGGATTTACTGGTTGCATTACCACCCAAATTGTGCTTGAATTACAACTGAAACAATCTGAAATTAGCAAATTATGTTATTCATAGTTTCAAGTGGTGTTAACAGAAGCCGTGTATTCCAATTTCACTGAACAAGTTTCTTTAAAAAGCTAACAGTTTTGCTAAGTTTACACCATACCAGTCAGTAGTTTCTCCTCACTTTTACTCGCTTAAAATCCCTTGCAAAGTCATTTCTAAAATGCATCCGAATTTTCCATGAACTGTTATGAACTGGAAGTAGACTTAGAGATTTAATCCTTAGAAACCAAGTTTAATGACAGAAGAAAAGACACTGTCATTTATAAACAATAGCAGGGATTTTAATTCCCTCTCACAGATAAGCAGCATTAAGTACCCAATGTTTCAGAAGACAAAGGCCTCATCCTGCTCCTATGGAGTTTATAGTATGTAGCTGAAGTGTGACAGGGGAAGCAAACAGGAGTGTTAATGCACAGAACATACTCAATAGTAACAAGAAATCACTCTCAAAAAAATCTCAGACTGATGAACAAGTAAACCTAGAGTGCTGAAGGCGCTGACAGTTTATTTTCTAGCAGTTTTAATGCTGGCTGGGAGCAACTGCTGATTGAACGGGTCTCTAAAAAGATTAATGAAGATTTCTAGAGATCAAAACTTGTGAAAGTGCCAACTAATATAATTTCACCTGGAGCCAGTCTGCCACTTCTCATATTTGGCATATTTTTATATCTGCTGAATTCTTCTAAACAAGTTAGCTGAATCATTTTGAATTCTTAGGCTGCAGATAGCAAGAAATCAAAAGGCAAGTTAGAATAAAAAAAGTGTAATATATATTTGGCTCATTCTTGTTGCTAAGCTACTAAAGCCCAGTTATGACTACAAGGCCATTACGGATTTGTAGCTGCATTTCTGACAAGGCAATGTAACATCAATCTAAGCACAGCAATAAAGACAGCGATCAAAGTCACAAATCAGAACTTATTTTGGTAGGGGAACAGCAACTCAGGCACTTCTAGACCTTTCCAATTCACAGTATCCATCGATCCAAGCAGCTCTCTGCTGCCTTTAGTTCTTTTGTTAAGAATTCAAAACTTCAGGAAATCTAAACACATGGAGAACTCCGCCACTGTTGAACTGGAAAGGGACTATCCAAAGGACTAGCTCCTTCAGTTGCTGAAGTCTCATGGCTTACAGAACAAGTAGGACAGGTCGTTGACCTGGCAAATCATAACTGCAGCTCTGATCCAGGGTACACAAACAGCTAGGAAAGTCAAATACCTGCAAGCAGAAAGTATGTAACACCATACTAATGTGCCTAAGGTTTTAATGGTGATATCAGATAAGAACCTCAGATTATTTCAGTGGCCAAAGTTTTCTCTGAAGTATAGAGCACAAGCACACACCATAAAGCTTAATCGTTAATATTCAACATACGTCTGCAAGGAAGAGTCTTTGCACACCCAAAAGGCTTCTGGTTCTTGAATTTATTATGAGCAAAGTTAGTTGGTTGAGTCACCACACTTCCCCAGGTGCCATTTCTCAAAAATAAGTTTCTCGAGCCAATTTAACCTCACAGAAAACAACTGAATGTTGCTTTTACCAAAACAAGAAGCAAAGGGAGCATTACAGCAGTTCAACAGCTATATGCAATCCCCTCCAGTGAGGAATAAATATAGCTCATGTTGAGGCAGACAGATGTTGAGGTTGATAAAGGTAAACAGAACCATGTAAGAGGTAATTACCAAACAGGCTAGATAAGTCACCCGTGAATAACTTAACCCTTCAGTGAATCCAACATTGTTTATTCCCCTGCTGAGGGAACGTGAGCCAGAGCACGAAGGATTTCAATTAGTTCCCAAAGCACTAACATTTGTAACCAGCTGCCTCCATTTCTTATCTATGCAGTATGGAACATCGTCATTGCATCCCCACGGTCTTTTGCACTGCATTGTTGATTTGCTAGCTTTTCTACAAGTGAGAGCTCTTTTCTTCCCTTCCCCCAAATCCCAATGTTATTTTGATCACTGGGGTTAGGGAAGGAAGAGGTATTTCTCAATTATCTGGAGGAAACAGATCTGCTAGAAGAGCTCACAAAAGAAATGTAACCTAGTAGAACGGTCAGTAATTAAGAGGATGGTTTATTTATACTGTCTGACCTTACTCTATGGTAAGTTAAAGTCAGCTTAGCCAGCTATACGTTTTAAACATCCAAGTGCCAGCATAAACAAGAAAGCGAACAAAAAAGCACAGGTCACTTACAAAACTGGAGCTCTTCTCCATGCAAAGCAAGATGCAAGTTTTTGCACTCACGGTAGACAACAGTTGAACCAACGCCGCTAGTACAAATTACTTAAGTCTCTAAATCACAACTTACCCAAAAGACAAAACCTCAAAACAAGTTATGGACATGTCCTGGTTTCAGCTGGGAGAGAGTTTTAAACATTCCTAGATGAAGTTGCAATTGTTTTATTCAGCAGGTCAGCTTGATCAGAACACTCCTATTTGGGGGAACACTTATAATCTATTTCAACCATGCCACCAATAGATCCAAAAAGGACATTTGATAAGGTCTGAAAATGAAAATTTTCTCAAAAACTTCGAGGCATAACTCATCAGCATCTCTCATGGCACTAACTGCACTCATTATTGACCCACTGATTCGAAGTAAACTGACTAGTAATTTCATATGAAAACACATTTTTAACTGCATGAAGACTGCACAAAAGAATTTGTACATTGGATGCTCACAGGTTCAATCTCTTATGCCCTTCTGTCATATCAAATATAAAAATACACGTGTTTCATTTAAGGTGCTAACCTTGACGTTTTTAAACAATGTTGTAAATAGCATTCAATTAACATTATTTTAGAGAGTTGGTTGAGTGCTTCTGTTTGGCCACAACTGAGCATGTTGTAAGGTACAATGACATGTGTAAGCCAAAGTAAACATTAGCAGACACACAATATGCATATATTATATATACACTTATAGAGTGCACACACATTGTTGATTTATTCACTCACAGAAGCCCGCTCAGTCCAGTACTTCCATTTGGTTTCATGTCATGTTTTCTGATACCTGACAGAGAACATGATCTTCTGGATTTGATAAGGGTAATACCAGATACTTTTAATACTGTAAGCAGTTTATTGGAAACCTAATTACAATACTCACCACAAAATTTAACACTGTCTACTCCTATTCTAAACCCCATTACCCTCCCATTATTATCTAAAGCTATTGGTATCATGGTTTATTCATATGTATTCACATGTTATAAACCAGACAGATTAATCACATAAACCAAGAATCACTAGTGGTTTGAAATAAATGCAATATTTCACTAGTAGTTGGAAAAGCCAATTTGTCTGTTTATTCTGAAGTACTGTAACCTGAAGCATTTCTCTGTAAATGAAAACAAAAGCATCATTGCAATCCTTTATAGTCTAATGTTGTTTCTAGGACACTTACCTCTTAGTAAAGAATTTTAGACTTAAATCAGGTTAAATTTTTTACAGGTGGAAGCAGTATTGGGCAGAAGATGAATGCATCTAGAAATCCTTCCACTTAAACATGGTCACACAACTGAATCTGTGGCACAGCCAGTAACAAAAAACCCAAATCCTTTTTACCTTGTGTATTTTTAGTTGGCAGACCCCACTTCCTTCTTCCTCTGACTTCAATCAATGCAAAAAGATATAGGAAGTTTCGATTAACAAAAATGAGAATTACTTACCAATTTGTAACAATACCGGCGTTACCAGAGCTGTCTCCATGGCATAACAAAATTCCCTGCCAAACATTACTGCACCATGCATCACCCACAGGCGTATTGGTATCCGGTCTATGGATCCTTCACTAATGGTCTCCTCCCTACTTTCATTCTCCTTGTTTTCTGGTTTCTGAAGCTGTGCCACAGGTAGATCTTGAACTTGCATAGATTCCGAGTCAGCATTCTGGGGAGCCATTTTCATTACCATAAAAAATATATATGTATATTTGTTATATCTATATAAATAATACTACCATAACTCCACAAACAACTTAGCGTGTCTTCTCTTTCAGCTTCTGTTCCTCAGGCAAGTAATGCTTATATTCCTCTTGTACAAACAAGTATCTTGCAACTTCTTGTATAGATATGAGACATTAAGAACGAAAAGCTATTTGGTAGGAATTTCAACATATGGCTTGCTGGTTTACTGTGAGTTAGAGTTAAAAATCCATAATTGCCATTCAGTTAATACCAGTTTCATAATTATTATTGAAGAAGTGCTGAAGTTGTTATTCTTGCTACAGAGGGGTGGAAAGGCGACACAAAGAGGTGCTCCACTGTTAATCCCCATCGAGTGGCTGATTAATCTGCAACAAAAAGCAAGCATTTAAAAATTTCAATAGCATTTTTCAGGATATTGTGCCCCCCCCCTTAACTATATACCCTATTTCCTGCTTAATGCTTTCCATTGTCCTTGCCTAGTGTAGGGTCTTTTATTCCACATTCCCTCCTACCCCTGGACTTTCCATTGAAATGCAGTTACTCCTCATAGTCACATGATGCTTAACTGTACTCCTAAGTTCCTCCAGTTTGTGGTCCCACACAAAGCCACACAAGAATATATCACTGTATTTGTCCGAGATCCTCAGAATGTCAAGCACAAGACTAACAAATTCTGGGAAATTTAATGCAGGTTCCATTTCAGAAACAGTGTAGGATATTCCAGTACTATGCCAGGAAGATGATTCATCAATTACCATTTACTGACTGGCCACACACACATCTCTGTTTAGCCTTTTGGAAGTAGCCAGTTACTTTGCAGTAACTATCACACCATCTTATAACAAAGGTATTCCTCAAGCAAGCATGAGCAAAAATAAGCCATTAGGAATATAACTTTGGGGACTGATATTTAAATATTTAAACTTCTAATGAAGATATACACAGCATATGCATCCATCTTCACTTTCTGCCCACAAGACCAGAGCATCTTACTCCCACATCCCATGAGGCTTCTGAAATCCATGAAAGTAGAATGGTACAGTACCTTCCACCATACATTAAAATTATTAAAATATATTCCAACCGGGTAATACAAGCTTCTCCTGTATTTCCTTGTCCTTTGTGCCCCAAAGCCTAAGCAGATGTACATACTGTACCAAGTCAATCAAAATGTGTTTAAGCACTTAGGAGAAAAAAGCAAGCATTTTATAAAAAGTCAGATTACATAATGTTTGTACCAGAAGGACGCATATTCACATCTATGCACGCAGCGTGACTGAACCCATATCCCAGGACAAACCCCCTCGGGGGTATGGTTGCATGAGATGCTGGCTTTGGCAGCAAAGCTGGCCTGAGAAGTCCCCACGCTGCAGTTCACTGCCCCTTCAGTTGTGGCAACAAAAACTCTTTGTGGGCTAGAGCATAAACCAGATCATTAAGTGGTGAACCTAAAAATGAGCCTTAAGAAAAAAAGATGACATGTTTGGGGTTTAAAGCACATCGCAACAGCAGCTCTGTTTCAGCATGACCCAACACACTGTTTACTAAAAGTGCAGCACGGGAACATCACCTTGAGCACTCCCTTCTGCCAATACCCTCCTTCGAGCTGTACTCCCAGCAGGTTTATTGCATGTATTTTGTTCTTCCATTCAGAAGCATCTTTTTTGGTCTGGGCTGCTTCTCCTCCCAGGCTCCCCAAGATTACTGAAGTTCTCAGATTTGATCACCTCAGTAACAACTTCATACTGTAATTTGCTTTTGAGCTAGTCAAACCTTTAAATCACATGAAATAAGTTAAAATAACTTGCTGAACACAAGTGCTATAAGCAGAGCTTTAAGTTCCAAGTTTTAATCTATATGCATTAAATTGCTCAGAACAAAAAGGACTCAAGAAAGCATTTCCCCACCCACTCACAATTAACAGGAGGAGTTGAGATGCACTGCCTAGGTTACTGAATTATGGCACAGACAGGTACTTATGAACATGTTCTTCATAAGCACCTTGTTTTTATAAAGGTTTTCCTTTCCACCAGTCAGGGTTTGGATTTGCTAAGCTCCTGCATACGGCAGAGTTCATTTGCCTCCTTCCAGTAGTTAGCACAGCACTGAACTCTCATCAGGAGGGGAAGGGATGTGATTCTCCTACTTTGCTTTAGTGTCTGAGGTTTCAACTCGGTCCTTGAAAGGCTGTTAGTTTGTCATAAACTTGATGTTAAGTACTGCGTGTATGTAAAAAAAGCCACACACATCCACTTTTCGTAACACAAGTTCTGCGTGAGTAAAACCTACAAAATACAGGTTCCAGAGTAGAAGCAATTATTTTAATTACAGACTAGTCATAAAATGTTTAATTGCTGGCAGACTCAGGCAAAATTGCATTCACTGGAATTTAACTTTTACATATCGGCTCTTATTATTCAGACCATGCGTGTTGTATTACAGACTAAGGGTCATAGATAATACTCCTGTACAAGATGGCTTTAAAGTCTCTAGCATTTTCTTATGCTTAATTTCCCCTCCTGTCACTATGAAGGATTTAACTCAATTTCCCTAAACACCTCATTTAATACGCAGTATTAGCAGAATGAGGCACAGAGAGGAAGGCAGTTCATCACACCAAAATGTTTTACAACGCACTGGGGCAGCCTGCAGACGCAAGCAGGATGACACCAGGCTGGGAGCATTTGTCACTGGAAAGGATAAAGAGGCAGGACAAAAGAGGATATCTGAGATTTAGCCCATTTGAGCAAAACTCTTAAGGGATGACTGAAAAAGTTACTCTTGAAGTGGAAGATGATGGGGAGTGATCAGGTAATTTGAGAGACAGGAATAATGGATGATAGATGGAGGTAGACTTTTAAGTTGTAATTCACACAGATAAGAACAGTCTATTTTAAACATGCCAGAAAAAGCAGTTACAGTCAGTATTCAAGTGCAGTAGCAAGAGGCACAATGGACAGGTTTTATCTAAAGGAACAGAGAATTACTGTTCCATTATGCCAATTTTGTGGCAAGCATAACGCTAGTCTTCCCACAGCACTTTCATCTGACTCCAAGTGGATGTCTAATACAAGAGCCAGAGAATAACAAGAGCCTCTCAGAAAGGTCTTCCAGTTCTTCTGTAAGTCCTGCTAGCTTGTGTTCATACTCATTTTAGACCGATCCAGATTCTGCTGCTGCTGCTTTTTCCAAGTTCATTTTGAATTTGGCAGGTTTGAATAGTGGCATTCTTCCTTATCGAAAAGGGAGACAAATTAATTTACCTGCTTGGAAGTAAATATTACAGAAGCTTTTATGCAGCAAAAAACTCCAAAGTAAATGGCATCTAAAGAGGAGTTGGATTAAAATACCAAAGAAGGCATACTCCCATGCCTGCATCTAGCACAAGTGGTTGTTTTTTTTCATGTTTGTTGGCTAGTAAAACCAAACCTTAATTGACAATAATTTTTTTTTTTTAATTTCAGTATTGAATATCCATGGTAATTTCCAATACATTCCCTTCACTCATGCAGTTCAAAGACTTCATGGCGTGAGGAGTCCACCTAAGAAACATGCCAGCATTATTATATTTTTTAAAGAAGTGATGAATTAGGCTTACATTTTTCCCTGTCATTCAAGCAGACCAGGTACTAAGAGAGCTGGCATCCCTTCCTCAAACAGATGCCGAGAGGCATGGCAGCAACAGGTTTCAGAAAGACAGCTTCCCTTTCATCTGTACCTTTCTGACCATCCAGCCACGTAGCAGCTAAACGAAATAATTTAAAAATGCAAACTGGCACATAAGACAGCATTTATCTCAGCAGGCTGAGACCAGGTCCCCCATTCTGCCATGAACTCTCACTATACTCTCCATAAAGTTTTAAAAGGCATTTTCATGACTAACAAAGAATAATGAAGTAGAATGAAGAATTTCAGCCATGAAAAGGGGTTCATGTTGGCCATTGTACAGAGGTTAGGTATGAAGATCAGTTTACATACAGAAATATTCCCGATCTTGCAAAGTGCGTACGGGAGGAAGGGACTGATTACACTAGCTCTTCAATCTAATTGCACATGTTTTATTTCGACCTTTGGCCACATTGCGACAATGACAAAACCTATAAAGCAGTAGTTAATATTTCAACAAAACAGGCAAGTAATATATTCTGAAAACTAATCTGTAAGCAAAATTTTAGAAAAGCTGCTCAAATTACTTGTAATCTTATCTGTCATACTTTTACCATCTATCTTTCGTCTAGGCATAAGTAATAACATGACTATGTGAAGCACGAAAAAAAGATGTTACAGGCTTAACAAGGCTATATCACAATAATCCTGTGCCTCAAATCGGTAGCGTTCACAGACAAAGCACATGAATCATCGAAGAACCAGAGGAAAATTACTGCCTTTCTTCAGGATTTTCCAAAGAAGAGGAAGAGTATATAGGTCATATTTGTGGCCCACAAAATTCAGTGCTTTTCTTTTCCTTAGGGAGTACTAAGATGCCAGAGATGCACAAAAAGCTCATGCTAGACAATTATGCAACACAATGCCTTGGGTAAATGACTTCTATCACACTTCCCAGCATGTTTTGTAAATTTAGGACTTATATCGACAAGCTATGTTTTTGCATTTGTCATACCATCATCTGGAGGTCAGAAGATTGCTAGTACACCCATCAATACCAAAAGAAATGGGGTTAACGGTGATCCTGCCTAAATCTTCTAAGACTGAACTTTTTTTAATGCATGTTTCCAGATATCTCTTGCTAACAAGGAACAGGAATGCACTGTTCAACAAGCAACTAGATTTTCTGAAGAAGTGCCAAAGCAAATGACTTTAAGCTATGGAGTGTGCAGTAATTTTTCAGGTACTCAACACACATACTTTATTAAGCAGTAATAAAGCCTGGCAGGTAGATACAGTTAAATGGGCCCAAAAGGATACCATAAGAAAATGTCAACTCTTTAGGAGGGCTTTCTTCCTCTGAAGCCATTAGGCAATCCTTAAGGCATTTATTGGTGTAAGAAAAAATTCATTTCAACAGGGTAGGTGTGCACTAATTACAAAATACTAAGTTCTGAAGGGAAAAATAAGCACAGCCTAAGAAAAACTGGAATGAGCAAACTGAAAAGGATGGGAACAGTTATGTCCAAACACTATTGAGTAACTAAGGGAACAAGGGGGGCATCAAGCAGAGGCAAACTATCCCCTTCTCTCATCCTGGTCTTTAAAGTTTATTGCATTAACTTCCAGTAACTTATCTAGCCACCTCATGTCTTCAAGATCTGCCTCTCCCATTATCATTACTTTATTTTACATGCAAGTATACAGATTGATCAAAGTCTCCTCAAATCATAG